AGACCAGTTAAGAGCAAAAGCTATGTGGCAGCAGTTTTTTTGAATACTCAAAGCATTTTGCTTGCTGACATTCTAGAGGGCCAAAGAACAATAACATCTGATTACGAGGGCTTTAAGATTGCAAAAGCTTCAGAAAAACACACCCAGAAAGCTTCACAAGACATTCCTTCTTCACCACCGAAGTGTTCATGCTCATTCTCTCACTAAACAAGTGTGATTTTGTGAGGGCTTTGATGGGAAATCATTAGCTATCTACCTTAAAGTCTTGATGCGGCTCCTTCTGACTTAAAAAATCTCTAAAGGGCACCCATTTTTCTTTAGTTAATATTAAAAAAAAAAAGACTATGTTGACATGGCTAAATTTCTTCATTTCTTTAGGAATATACTAAACAGCTGGCACAATCATTCAAAAAACATGTGGGAGTCATACCTGACTTCCCCTGGTTTCACAAGAGGGGAAGAGAATCAAACTCAAAATCAGCTCAAGGCTGATTCCATTGAACTGGAGGTCAGACATGCTTCCACCCTACAACCTTCTTTATTTTGACACCGACCATCCCTCCTACAGCACTCTGGGTTTGATAATCCATTACAATGGCCACACAAAATTCCTAACAATACAATTATAGGGTTTATTAGGGAAGTGAACAGGGTACAATTCAGGATCAAAACCAACTCAAGATGTTCTCCAGTCAGGGATGCCTGTTGTCTGCCACACTGCAGGCAAGCCTCACTATTGTCTTAGGCTTCTCAGCCATGTGGAAACTTGGCCTGCTAGGACAAGTGATACAAACCTCTTTTAGACAGTCTGTGAATACCCAAAGGGCACATTCTGCAAGGCAGTCTCCTGCCTGTAGTCACTCAGCTTACTCAGTCCACAGGCCTAGAGCCTGAAGCTGCTCTGTCTTTCCATGCTACTGCCTCTGATGTCGCCTCTTGCCATCTCATGCTCCATTTATGTTCTTCTTCTTGATGGTCCTGGATCTTCCTCTCTGCTTCTGAGATGGCTCCTTTTAAGCCTACCTGAAAGACAAAACTAACGAATCACAGTCTTAGAGTCCTGAATACCTTTATTTCCATGGTCCCATCCAATCACTTCCACCACTTGTCTGTAGGTTTGTTGTACTGTGGCGGCTTGTGTGTTCCTGTGATTCTGGAAGCTACACCACGGGTACTTTAAGTACCAGTAGGGCCATCCATGGTATTAAAGGTTTCAGCTGAACTTCCAAACAAACTCGAACTGGGCAGAAGTTTGGTAAAGTGGAGGGTCAGAGAAAAAGAGGAAGACCCCCAACAGGATGGATTGGCACAGTAGCAGCAGTGATGGGTTCAGGCATAGCAATGATTGTGAGGTAGGCCCAGGATTGGGTTTCGTTCTGTTGTGCCAAGGGTCACTAGTCAATGGCACCTAACAACAACATCCAATCACTTGGTGGGAATTAAAAAGACTTTGGACAGAAAAGCCATACCGATTAAACTCAAGGTAACACACATCACTTACAAAAGTTCCTTGATCTTGATGAGGTTTATGATGAGAAAGAAATACATATTTCTTATTTTAATCTTTGAATTCCATTTTTCCATGAATTTCTTGACGTCCCCCTGTAGTATGTGCTGTCGTTGGCAGGGACATGAGTTATTGCTTATAGCTGAAGAAACGCACAGTGACAACAAGTCATTATGTTCTAAGGTTACTGTATGAGGTGGTGAATCCTGGAGGTATGACTGTGTAAAATCTTTTATCATTTTGGCTCTTGTACAACAAGATAAACCTTGTCAGTATATTTACAGCTTTCTATGTGTTATTTTTTAAGTTACATTTCTGGTGATGATGTAATTTCAAGTAACTTATTTTCAGGCATAATATATTATAAGCATGTGTTGTGGTGTACTTCATGTACTATATATATGCCTACTCCAATCTTACGAGCTTTTGCAATAAAATTTAATTCATTCTATTAGTACTTTTCCCACAAGCACGGGACTGCTAACTACAAGGTTGGCAATTCAAACCCACCGGCTGTTCCTTGGAAACCTATAGGTTCCTTGGAAACTTAATGGAGGCCTGGTGCAGCTCTGTAGGATAAACACTGGACCACAAGGTTGGTTTGAACTACAAGATCGGTGGTTCAAACTCACCAGCTGCTCCTCAGAAATCCTATACAGACGGCAATGAGTCAGAACTAACTTGATGGCACACAACAACAGTCAAAAAATGAGGAAGAGTCTCAGGCAAAATGTAATGAAGATGACTTAAACACAGTTACATACTCGTAGAATCTAAAACTTGTTTGGATATGAACAAGAGCATGGTATTAGATGGTGATAAAGCAGCAGATGTGGAAGAAAAAAAGGGTTGAACCAGATGATGATGCAGTGATGAAAGAAAAGAAAATGAAGGTGAATTGTGTGAAGACTTCTCCTACTCCGAAAATATAATGACTTTACTCCAACATTAGGCAAAGATTACCCAGTTCTGACTAATGAAGGTAAAGAAGTCGATTATTTTCTGTCTGTATTTACAGAAGACACTTTGGAAATTATAAGGGACCAAATAAATCTTCATGCAAGCCAGGAACACACAAGATGATATAGAGGGTGTTGTTGTTGTTGTTCAGTGCTGTCGAATCGGTTCTGACCCGTAGTGACCCTGTACAGGGTTTCCAAGGAGCAGCTGGTGAGCTTGAACCACCAACCTTACAGTTCAAATCACCTTTGCAGTCTAGTGCATTACCCCACAGAGCCATACCAGGACAGAGGGTATGTGATTAGAATGCCAACTAAAAACTAGCAGCACCTACAGAAGATAAAAAGACATTCATTGTTGTGCACCCACTGGGTTTATTGGTCCAGTGACCGCCCCTCCTCTTGGTTATTACTTCTGTTGCAGAACTTAGGAGTACAAAATTCAAGAAAATGACCGAGCAGTCACTGCAATGACAATGACTGAGAACATTCACGTGCACAAAGGAGAACCTAGCTCTGACCAGCTTCATAAACGGTGCCCAATTATCAATGCTCTCAATCACCACCTAAAGGAAGTATATGTGCCATCAAGCGTCATGGCCCCTGACGAAAACGTGGTGCCACTCAAAGGCCATTCTCCAATAAAACAATATATGCCAATCAGGTCTGTCGGGCAAAGGCAAAAATCTGGTGCTTAGCTGATTTACGAATTAACTCTGTAAGTCAGCTTGATATCTATGTTAGAAAAAAATGGCGTGCACAATGACTCATCTCACTCCCTTGGTGAGAGTGTTATAGGTGGACCAGGTCATTCATGCAACCTTTCTCTTAGGCGCATTGCCTTTGACAATTTTTTAATGTCCTAAAACTTGATGAAAAGCCTGAAAGAAAGGAGATTATATGATGTAGGCACAGTGCAAGCAAACAGAAAGAAGTTAACAGAAATGATGAAGAAAGATAAATTAGACCAGGAGAATTTTTGTTTTGTACAAAAGGATGCGTGTTGGCATTAAAGTAACAGGACAATAGACTTGACAATTTGATCAAGGTTCCACAATCCAAAGGACACTTCTGTCATAAGAATAAACAGATGGTTCTTCCTCAGTAAAATCCCTTGCCCCACAGTAGTTACAGAATACAATGCAATTATGGGAGAAGTGAATCGCTATGACCAGAGGTGCAAAAGGTATGCAATCTAAAGGCACTCTCAAATAGTAGCCATCATCAATTGCTGTATTTTCTAATTGACATTGGCACTGCAAACAGTTTTACATTGTGGAACACTGACCAACTTTCCTTCAGGCTCACTCATTAGGCAGCTTACTATGGGCCAGAAAACCAAAAGTAGAAGACCCTACTTTCTTGTAAAGAACAAGCCAAGAGTAAGCAGGGCACCAAATGACCTACAGTTCCAAGAAGTTTACCTGTCAAGGGAAATAGAAAATGATGCAGAGAATTCTGTACAAAGAAGCCTCAATTATGTAGTCACTACAGGTACATGTTTTAAGTTTCACAGAATAAAACAGCTACAACAACAACAAATTTTTTCATGTCTCATTCCTTCAGTCCTACCACCAGAGTCTAGTGGAACATGTGTCCCACATAATAGTTATTAAATCCATTATTACCTAATAAAAATTTAGAAAGATCAATGATTCAGCATGCATTTTATTATGGGAAAAAAAAAAACGTATTATCCACAAAAACTTAATAAAAAATAATTCGATCATGGATTAAGGTGCCCTGGTGAAATAATGTTAAGTACTCATTTACTAATCAAAAGGTCAGTGATTTACAGACAAATGGCTCCTCAGGAGAAGAAATCACTCCAGGCTAACCTGCTCCCATAAAGATTTACTGTCTAGGAAACCCTAGGGGGTAGTTCAACTCTGTCACATGGGCCACTTTGAATCAAAATAATTTCAACAGCATACAATCACAACAAGCTAGACTTACTTAGTAACTAAGTTACTCTGTAGGTAACTATGTTACTTATAGCAAGGTACTGTTAAGTTAATCATTTCTGATTATCCCAGTGTGAAGAGGTGATGGCCAATAACTGTATCCCTCCAAGGTAATGCCACACAAAAAGAGCAGTCAGCTAGCTTCTTATTCTCAATGTTAATTATATCAGCTTGTGGAGTCCTGGTGTGGAGCTGTAGGATAAGCACTGAACTGCCAACTGCAAGGTTGGCAATAATATCTATCTAAACCTACTCACCAACTGCAAGGTTGACAGTTCAAACCCACCAGCTGCTCTTCAGAAACCCTACGCAGGATCACTAGAGTCAGAATTGACGCAAAGGCACTTAACAACAATCTGGGAAGATAGTAAAAAAACAGAAGTCATAAGCTAAAAATTGTTATTTCTGATCATCCACCATAACTAATCCTCCTAATAATATTAATTTAAGCCAATACAATGTTTTTTCTTTCTATTTTGCAAGGAAAAGCAAGAACACTTCCAAAGACATAAAATAAACAGCAACTGGCCAGGGATGAGTCAACATCAAAGTAAATATGAAAAAGGATACTGTTTCATGACTTCTTTATACTTCACAGTGTCACAAATATCTGGAGAAAGAAAAAAAAAAAAAATGAATTGGGATTCCTTATAGAAACAGTATCATTTCAGACCTTTTGCCTCTCATGTTTTCTGTCAACAAGCCTCCCAAGTCATCTCTACTTCCTTTAAGGAAGAAAATAAGTTCCTCTCTTGGTAACTAAGTTACTTTTTATCTCCTAATTTTTTTAATTTAGAGCTTTAAATTGTAATATGAAGCAAGACTGTGAGATGAATGATTAGACAAGCAAAACGTGCCCTATCAGGACTTTCCCCACCAGTAAAACCTAAAACTAGCCTGTTAGACTCCCCTTGTCAGATTCTTTTCAACCAACTTCTGCACCTTCACACTGGTTTCCTTCCTTACAAAGGATAACTGTCAAGTAACCCATGAAGAATGTTAAGGATATATGGTAGATATTATCTGCCACCAGGTGAAAAGTTTCACACAACTTATGAATTATATCAGTGACCACATGTACAGAATAAAAAGTAGCTAAAGAAAAAAAGTTTACTTCTTACTAATTGCCTACTGGTGACATAGGCAATACCGATATTACTTTTTAAAGGAATTAATATGTCCAGTAATATCTATCTAAACCTACTCACCAGTCTGTAGACCTCCCCCATTAACTCCTTCATTTAGGTCAGATGATGGGTAATGTTTTCCCAAACTCTTCTCAAAATTAGATATGCCTCTTAATAAAGTCTGCCTTTTGTTAGTATGTATGGAGTACATGAAGTTTAACCCCGATTAAGAGATGAGGGATCGGATTAGCACAGTGATGGCCTTATAAATCTGGAAGTCCCTAGATCTTGTTCTAGAATCATGACACTAAAGCACATCCATTCTTAATCTTTTCTGTAGTTTCAGACTCCTTTTAGAATTTGAAGAGTTCTTCAAAAACTCTTCAAACAAGAGTTTGAAGTTTCTCCTCTTAGAAATGAAGAAATTGGGAACCTCTCACCAGAGCAATGCACACATACATTTATATACACATTTTCCCATGTAACTTCGGGAGTAGGAGCAAGATTCCTAGAGAAAACAGTAAGTTGACTTCAGCAAAAGAACCCTTATACTCTGACTAAACTCAGAAAAAGAAACTAAAAGTAGAAGGTTTATGTATGATTAGGAAGGGCTTATAGCATAGAAATGAGAGAACTGACTTTCTGCCACTTATTTTACCCAAATAACGATAGCCTCATCATACTAGGCTCAGAAATACAGGTAAGTGGGAAGGAGATAAAGAATCTAGGGAAGGGAAACTAAAAAACCCACTTTCACTGAGTCAATTGTGACTCATGATGACTATAGAGCAGAAAAGAACTGCTCCATAGGGTTTCTGAGACTATAAATTTTTACAGGAACAGCCAGCCTGGTGGGTTTGAACAACCAGCCTTGTGGTTAGCAGCCCAACACTTAACCCAGTGCATCAAAAAGGCTCCTTTAAGAAAGGGAAGGAGTAAGTAAGCAAAAAGAAAATGTAAATAAATAAGAAGCCTGACAAATCCAAGAAAAATAAACTTAAGTATTGAGAAAAGATAAAAAATGAAGGCACTGAAGACTGGAAGGCTGAGGCTTTCCACTTCCTTTCAGGCACTTCACACCAGCTCTGTTTGGCTCGCTCACCTATGTTGGCAGGGAAAGGAACTTGATGCACAGCTGGGTCCAGGTTGATCACATAAGGTGGAGAGCCTTGGCTATGCAAGTGTCCTGTAAGCCTCTGCAGAGACATGAGGAGGCAGGAGGAGGGAGAAGAAAAGAACCATAAGGAGAGAAAACTTCCATTCATTCATTGCCATTATGGAAACCTTTGGCACCTGTACTTCCCTCTATCTGAACTCTCCATCCCTTGTGTTCACTTCTGGAGTTCTGGTGTGGCGCTGTGGGGTAAAGCACTGGACTACAAGGTCGAGTTGAACCACAAGGTCAGCGGTTCAAACTCACCAGCCACTCCTTGGAAACACTACAGAGGGTCGCTATGGGTCAGAAGCAATTCGACAGCATTTAAAACAACAGATGATTACTTCTAACGTTCAGCTCAGTTCAGATGTTACCTTTATCGCTTATTTCGGGGGGGAAATGAGGCTTTATCACATTTATCTCTATCACTTATTTGGGGAGACAAATGAGGCTTGCTGCTCTCGCACTGTTTTGCAGCCACGGAAACCTTATACAAGGTCGTTATGTGTCAGAACCGATTCAACGGTACTTAACAGTAACAAAAGCCTTTATTTATTTATGTACTTGTGTGCCAGAGTTTCCTGCAAGCCCCTGAATTCCAGAAATTCTCCATTTTATCGCTAAGACAATCCCAGTACAACGTGGTAAGTTGTATCAAGTATGCACTGAGCACTGAAGGTTAGCAGAAGAGAGCCTTAAGTAACCCAAGCTTAATTAATCTAAGATTTATCCCGGGAAGGCACCAGAGCTGATAAGAAGTTCCTGAAAGTCACGCGCCGGTAGCCTCTAACTCCCGAAAGACATCCCTCCTTTTCTATTAAGCCTTCTACTCGCCACCTCTCTCATGCCTACGTCATGTAAGTAACCTGTACAAAAGTGGTTTTTCCGGATCCCGCCATTCCCAACACCAACAGACACACGGGAGGCTGAGGACCCCCTGAAGCCTGTGGATCAGAAGAAGCTGCGGAGGCCGCCATCTTTCTCCTAGGTCCGCCCACTCTACGATAGAGTCGCCGTGTGACTAGAGAGACTTCCGTGACGCTCTAGGCTGGAAATGAAAATAGAGACAAATAGACTTGAAAGGGAAAGACGAAGGGACTGGGCGGGGCGAAGCTCTGGAGCATCATTACGTCTTCGCCAGATTTCAGGGCCAACTGGTGTCAGTATCCGAGAAGTAGTTGCGCTGGATAACCGAGAGGGGGCTGAAGAGAGCAAGGGGCATTCACAGTCATAGAGTTGGGCCTGGAAAGAGAAAATTCTTCGTTCCAGAAGGACAAGACGGGATTCCATAGATAGGGCTCCCACGGGACGAAAAGTCTCACTTTCGGCCCTCAAAGAACGAGGAGTAGAGCCGCGGGAGAACAGAATGCTGGGGCTTACCCTGAAGCCGAGAGGGTTAAACAGGCCAGGGCGGGACAGGATCGGACTGAGGCGGGGCACCATCCCCGGGGTTGCTGGGCAGCGCCAAGACCGTTTGAGCACAACACTGCAAGAACTGTATGCACTAGGACACCATTCCTGCATGTCGTCCGCCAAAAACACTAGCGCTTGCCCCTCAGCCTCTACCCTCAGTGAGCTACACGATCACCGTGAGGATGAACGCGTCGATCCCTGGCGCACGTGAGTTGAGGAGAGGTTTCCCCTCATGGAAGCGCCCTCGGAAACTGGGAGTACCTAATGGAAAAAACGAGATAATTTTTACTCTCAAATATTCAGTCCGCTCCCGTGGTCCTTTATAGCAGCAGTAAGTCTTAAGAGCTGGGTTTTATACCCTGCCTCTACCACTTGTTAGTGGTGTAAACCTTGAGTGGTGGTGCTGTTCGTGCTGTCAAGTCGGTTCCGACTCATAAGAGGGTTTCCGAGGAACAGCTGGTGGGTTTGAACTACCGACCTTATGGTTCGCAGTTCAGTGTTGATCCTACAGCCCCACGCCAAGAGTCCGGAAACCTAGAGTAAGTTACTTGAATTCTCAGAACTAGTTTTCTTTAAAATTGAGATAATGCCTCACGGGGTTACGGTGTTAAGTGCCCTGGAGTTGGTGTCCGACTCAGCATCAATGGGCTCAAGCGTGGCAAGGATTGTGAGGTTGGCCCAGGACCGGACAGTGTTTTGTTCTGTTGTGCACAGTAGGATCACTGAGTTGGTACTGACTCCATGCCATTTAACAACCCTGGAGCAGTTGGTAGGTTTGAACCGCCACCTTGAGGTTCAAATTGACCGTGCAGTCCAGTACATTGGTCCACAGCGCCACACCAGAACTCCTGCCATATTGTAAATTGTACACTACAGGCCCTATCTTTACCCCATCCGTTGGTACACATGTGTTGTTCGTTGCCAGGGAATCGATTCTAACTGATGGCGACCCCTTGTGTGTCAAGAGCAAAACTACGTCCTAGGGTTTCCAGGCTATGACCTTTCAGAAGCAGGTCCCCAGACCTTTTGAACTATCCTTTCAGTTAATCCTACAGCGCTTACTCATTTGCACATGTCAATGAACATAAATGAGGTTTCAAAAAGATCGTGAAATAATGGACTGAAAAGATAATGGAATTTTTCCACAACGTTTTGAAGCTTCCTCATGTTGCTGTTGTTAAGTGCTCTTAAGTAAGTTCTGACCCATAGCAACCCTGTATAGGATTGTCGAGGAGCAGTTGGTGAGCTTGAACTGCCAACCTTGCGGGTCAAACCGTCTCAGCAGTCCCGCACCATTAACCCACAGTGCCACCCCAGGACTTCTCCCCCTCATATTGTGTGTTAAGTACCGTAGAGTGAATTCCGACTCATAGTGACCCTGCACAGGGTTTCTGAGGCTGCAAATCCTTACGAGAGCAGAAAGCCTCATCTTTCTCCTGCGGAACAGCTGGTAGTTTCGAACTGCTGACCTTGCGGTTCGCAGCCCGATTTGTAACCACTACGCTACCAGACCTCCTTCCCCCTCATATTAGGTGCTCAAAAATTTTTTTCTTGTATGACTCAATGTACAAATGTGCATTTTTTTGTTATTTCCAAATGTTCATGAAGAATCAATGGGAGAATGTATCATTTGTGTTGTTTTTTTTTTTATTCAGGTTTACTGATGGGTCTGGAAAACGTCTACCACCATATCTTAGTCTAATAGATAGTTTTTTCAACTCAGAGAAGCTAACAAAGACTGAAGAGAATTTTAAAGAAAAGGCAATGGCGCAAGTGATGAAGCTGAACACTCAGATAAAAGAAGCTAAAATCCAGCAGGAACAGTTACAGGAAGATAGCAGGCAGCTATACAATGAAAAACGACTTATCCAGGCTGAACACAAACTCATTATGGAATACCTGACCAACAAAACTGAGGAGTATAGAAAGCAACCTGTGAAACTGTGGAACAACTATGTACAAAAAAGTGGAGAGATTGAACTGCGGAGGCAGGAATCAGCCTCCAGATATGCAAGACAAACTTCAGTGCTTAATGCAGAGCTCTTGCTTAAAGAAAAGACCCAAACTCTTCTGAAGCACAAGTTAAAGGCAATGAAGGACATTTTAATATTAAAGGAACTACAGGAGTTAGAAGCTCAAACATTGCAGGAGGAGAAAAGGAGAGTCCAAGATGAGACAGCTTCAAAGGCACAGATAGTACAAGGCCAATTGCTCCAGCAAAAAGCATTATTGGAGAAACAACTGAGTGAGCCAGACATGAGCCAGTTGGGAAAGAGAAAAACATGGGAACTTAAGAAGAGCCAAGCCTTGGAGTTGGCAGCAAAACAGTATGCTCTTGAGTTCTACCTTGGCATCAACAGAGAGAACCAACAGTTACAGCTGGATCTTAAGCACCTAATCCAGCAATCCCAGGAGTTGGTGGCTTGTCAAAGCCAGTTAAAAAACAGGAAACAGCAACTGCAGCGGGAACAGTGGTGTCTGGAGGGTTTAATCCGGGGAAGACATCGAATACAAGGAAGGTATAATTGGTGCCTAAAAGAACAAGATGTTCTAAAAACCACACTGGCCCCTCCCCTAGGCACCAAATCAAGAATTAATCCCAAATAATCTCTAACTGATTAACCATTGAACAAGTAGTTTTAGGTGCTACATAAACCCAGTTAGGTATGTTTTCCAGTTTCAAATTGCTTTGTCAAGATGTCCTTCTTGATATATAGGTATGAAGGACTGGGTGCTTTTCAACAGTACTGCTTCACATTTGTGACTGCCTTTCCTTAATCAGTTTTTCCTTTAATTAGCTCTCACTAATAAATGGGATATTCTACAAACCTCCACAGTTAACATAATATATGGCCCTAACGTAATACCCAGCCACTTGCCAAACACCTCATACTTTAAACTCACTCAAGAAAATCAACTTGAGATAAGAGGAAAAATTGTGATTTAATCTACCTTAGTTAAATTTCTTTATAGAGAGAGCACCTTTAACGATATTTCAGATTTTGTAATATTTTCAAGTCTAAATAACCCAATATCAGTTTGTCCTCATTCCTTTTGACCAACTTGACACACAAAAGCAAAAGTATTTTTAATTTGTTTTACTTTTTAGTTTATTCCAGTGACCAAGTAGATCCTTCTATAATTGGTTTCATGAAGTTTTCTGATAACAGCATGTCCACTAAGTGCAAGGTCTGATGCCAAGACCTTACAGTTTTTAGCTTTAATAGACTGATAAGCTAAGACAGGTTGCAGGGGATGCCTGTTGTGTTTGAAAATGTTTTCAGAGGAAACAAGTAATGAATTAATTACATGACAGAATGCTTGTTAAAGAAAATGTATCAAAAGGAAGTTTTAAAGAGTCTTGTGCCATTCATTGGTATCCCATTTCCCTAGCAGCATTTTAAGCTCTATGACAAGTCAAATGCTGTTTATTATAGTTTAAGTACTTCAGTTTCAGGTAATTTCTTTTCATACTACATGTGTACTTTATAGTACATGATATGCCTTTAATAATCACCATGTGCCATATATTTATGTCCATTTGTAGAACTTAGAATGGTATTTTAAATTAGTATAGATTTTAGTTGTATTTTTTGTACTTGTGATATACTTATGTTTAGACCAGTGAGTTACTTGCTGAATCCTAGTTTAGAAATATTACTCCTTATGTTAACATTGCTCTTCTGTGGGGAAAATACAAACAACTTAGGTTTTTCAGAAACTATTGAACCATTTTGATATAATTTCCCTGAAAATTTTTTCCTTCATGTGTAAAATGAATAAATTTAAAAGTAGATTTAAGGAAAAAGATCTTCCCTCAAAGTGTCTCTAACTCCTAACTTTAGAAGTTTTTCTTGTTAAATGTGTTTTGTTTTTTTAAACAATAAAGATTTAGGATTATTTATCCACTTGTTTTCTTTACTGTTCCAACATAATGTATTTTCTATTTTGTCTCACTTCTTACACCATTTCTGCTTGTCTTACTGTGCATATAATAAAACTAATACAGAAATTAATCTTCAGATATCATTTAGGTACCTTGACCATTTATTTCATGAACTAGAAATAAAGACTAAACTAACATGATATACATTCCTTATTCTGTGAATATAAAAACCCTAGGAAAATATACATCTACAGCTGGAGTCCTGGTGTGGCACTGGACTACAAGGTCAGTTTGAACCACGAGGTCGGTGGTTCAAAACCACCAGTCACTCCTCTAAAATCTTATACAGGGTCACTGAGTCGGAACCAGCAGCACTTAACAACAAGGCTGACCAGGAGTCAGAAAGTAGGAGGATTTACTGTTGTTATTGTGCTATGTATGAAGTTAAGTGTTCACAATATAAAAATGGGAAGAAACCATTTCAGGTAGAATAGTGAGTGCAAAGCTTCTAAGATGGCAATAAGCTTGGTATGTTCAAAGAACAGAAAAGTCAATATTGCTAAAGTATAGTTGGGAAATGGGTTGAGAAAGATGAAGGTTAGAAGGAAGGTCTGGTTGGTCAATAGAGTACTGCTTTGTTTAGTACTCTATTCATCCAACTTAGTGGCCCTATATAGGGTTATGATTTCCAAGGAATGGCTGGGGAGTTTAAACTGCCAATTTATGGCAAGCAGTTCAGTGCTTATCCTATAGGACCACACCAGGACTTGATAATCAGAACTAGACTAGAGGGCAAAAAAAAAATTCTTTTTTGATAAAGTAAATGAGGGTAAATTGCTACAATTTTATGAACTTGACCTATACTCAAGGAGTCTTCACATCAAGTATCAATGCTATCCCTGCTGTATGCAGGGTAGAGAGGGATGAGCAATTTAGACACTGGCACCCTAAACTGAGGGGGTGATAAAGGCTCAAAGTGACTGGCTTTCAAGTTTTCAAGAAAGAGTTTAGTTTAAGAGTGTGTGGCGGAAGATAAGAGTGCCCACTGAATAATTTTCATCTTGTCTAGATGGGTCTGATGAAAAGAGGATAAGATTCTTACGATTCAACAGTAATTATCATGACTGAGACAGTCACAATTGTAAAGGTAGAAGTTTTGTAACAAAAATGGGGGAGTAGTTCATCCTACATTCCAGGAACAGAGCACCCTAGGACCATCAAGGGAGAAGAGTACAAGCGGAATGCAGGACCCTATCCAGAGAAGCAGCAAATTTACCTAATGCAATATGTTGTTTGATTTCTTGACTGCTGCTTCTGTGAATGTTGATAGTTGATCCAAGAAGAATGAAGTCCTTGACAACTTCTATCTTCCTTCCTTTGATAAGAATGTTATTGGTCCAGTGGTGAGGATTTTTGTTTTCTTTACATTGAGATGCAATGCATACCAAAGGCTGTGCTCTTTGATCTTCATCAGTAAATGTTCTAAAAGTCTTCACTTTAGCAAGGTTGTATCATCTGCATATCGCAGGTTGTTAATGAGTCTTCCTCCAATCCTGATGCCATGTTTTTCTTCAGATAACCCAGTTTCTCAGATTATCTGTTCAACATACAGATTGAATAAGTATGGTGAAAGAACACAACCTTGTCACACACCTTTCTAAATTTTAAACCATTCAGTGTTGCCATGTTCTGTTTGAACAATGCCTCTTAGTCCAGGTACAGATTCCTCATGAGCAAAATTAAGTGTTCCAGAATACTCATACTTTGCAATGTTGTCCATAGCTTGTCATGATCCATACAATAGAAAACCTTTGTGCAGTCAATAAAGCGCAGGTAGACATCTTTCTTATATTCTCTGCTTTCAGTCAAGATCCATTGGACATCAGCAATGATATTCCTCGTTCCATGGCCTCTTCTGAATCTGGCTTGAACCTCTGGAAGTTCTCTGTCAAATCTGTTGCACAAGACCTTTTCAAAGTGTTGAAGAGCAAAAATGTCAGTTTGAGGACTAAGGTGTGCCTGACCCCAGCCATGGTATTTTCAATAACCTCATATGCATGCGAAAGCTGGACAGTGAATAAGCAAGTCTGTAGAATTAATGCATTTGAATTATGGTGTTGGAGAATATTGAAAAGTGACATAGGCTACCAAAAGAACCAATAGATCTGTTTTGGAATGAGTGCAGCCAGAGTGCTCCTTAGAGGCCAAAATGACCAAACTTCATCTCTCATAATTCGGACATATTGTCAGGAGGGACGGGTCAGAGAAAAAGAAGACCCTATGAGATGGATTGGCCAAGTGGCAGCATCGATGGATTCAAGTGTGGCAACAGTAGTGAGGTTGGCCCAAGATCAGGCAGTGTTTCGTTCTGTTGTGCATAAGGTCGCTCTGAGTCAGTACTGACTCAATGGCACCTAACAACAACAACCATCCAGAGAAGCAGTGACATCAGAGATGGCGGCAGAGATGGGGACATGGGAAGAGGGAACAACTGAGGAAGACTGTGAGTTGGTGGTCAGGAGGCAGGCTTGCAGAATGTGCCCTTTGGTGGTTTAAATTATTATATATGCCTGAGTGGTTTTTTATAAAAAAAGAATAGAAATACTGTTAACTGATATTATGGAGGGGATTGTAATCATTATAATGAAACAAAGTGTATGATTGGTTGAATATAAAACTGATGATCTATCTACCCTGTACTTACACTCAAATCACAATAAAAACTTAAAAAAAAAACAAAAAAAAAAAAACAAGACAGGAAAGCCTATGATAGTTGGGACTGTGTAATTCAGAAAGTTCTCAAGAAGAAAAACTCAAATATTCTCCATTAAAATGATCTTAAAAAAAAAAAAGTAGACGCAAGGATACCATGCTATTGCTGTTAATCTACACAAGACAGCATATAAATTTGTACTAGCATATAGAGATAGAAAGATGTCAACAATTAGGTATTTATTTGCTGGTAGATAAGGTGCAAATGGATTCACTTTGAGAAGAAAAATGATCAAAGCAGTACATTCTTTGGCCCAGTATTGGTACAGTGGTGTAGTTGGCTGAAGTGGGGAAGACAAGCAGAAGAACAAGACTATACAGTGAGAGTAACTGAAGATGAAACAAAAGTAAAATTTATAGTGTTCCTTTAAAAATAAACAGAATAAATGTGATATATATGTGATTTGCTTTTTAAAGTTAAATATTTTAGACATAAGAAAATATACAACAAACCCATTATCTCCCTCAAGAAGTAATTACATCAGTTGAAATTCCTTCTAAATCTCCTAAGCACTAAATTCATATTTATCATTCTTGTGCATTCTGTGCTTTCACAATTACCTACAATCAAGCATTGTTGTTTATGCATGTTTTAAAACTTATATAAATGGTACCCTTAATGTATTAGGCAACTTGCTTTTTCCTGATATTTTTGAGATTTATGCATGACACACAAAAATCTTAGCTAATTTTTAGGAATAGTATTCCACTGTCCATTCTCCTGATAAACAATTAGCTTGTGTGTGGGAATAGGCTAAACTGCTGACCCAAGATCAAGTTTCTTAAATAAGTTATTGCTCACATTAAGAGTCACAGAATAATAGTCTAATATTAATATGGATGCTTTCAGGTAGCTCCTTCAGAGTGATTCAAATGTTCATTTTGTGTTCTACCAACCCTTAGGGCCATTTATAATAGGTGCATCTAGTCAGAGAAGGGAAAGCAAGAATGGAGGCACACTGGTTCTTCAAAGTTCCAGTCAAGAAGTGACACCCATTAATTTTTACTCACATTCCACTGGTGAGAAGTTAGCCAGGCACATGCAACACACAGGAAGGGAGAGCACTGGGAAATAAGTCTATTAATTTTCCTACAATCCTATTATTTTAAAAGGTAAAAACAAATTTTGTTAGACAACTGGTGGTCTCTCCACCACAGGGCGTTCCAACACAGGAACTATTCTTTTAGCGCCTATTATAAATGGTACTGAACGAATGGTTCCTGTGTATGTCTCTTATATATGTAGGAGGTGAAGCATTGAGGTTTAGGGAGTAGGTTCAACCTTTCTAGGTACTGCCAAATTGTTTTTAAAGTAGCAATGTACATTCTAAACTATGTGAAAGTTCTTATTGCTTTACCACTTAGCTACACTGGAGTCCTGGTGTGGCGCTGTGGGTTAATGCACCAGTCTGCAAAGCCGTTTGAACTGCAAGGTCAGCGGTTCAAGCTCACCAGCTGCTCCTTGGAAACCCTATACAGGGCCACTATGGGTAGGAATTGACTTGACGGCACTTAACAACAACAAACACTTGATATGTTTTAATTTTTTTAAAGAAACTTTAAAACTCAATAGCATGACTAGAATTGTCTGGTGTCCTATGCTGATCGCTGGCTTCAGGGGGAAAAAAAAAGAAAAGATGTGCCTACAGAGTGCTCTGAATGAGACTGGTAACTTTCCGATATTAATTCTTCTTAATCTCAAATTATTCATTTTAACCAACACAGAGAGTCCAGGAGCTAACAAATTATTAAGACAAATACATTCAGAACTTATTTCAAACTCATACCTATCCCAGTCATCTTCTTACCCCCATAAACTGTGTCAGCAAGGAGTCAAATGGCAGGCCACAGTCAATGAACAACTGGAAACAACATTTTAAGCAAGAGTCATTTATTTATTTTGTCATTACCAAACATTCCCCAAGTCTTACTCACCAGGAATTAACATAGTTTCTTCATTTCTCTTTCCTGGCAACCCTTATCTACTGAAAAGGCTTTTGAGGGCACAACTGCTGATGAAAATGAAAATACCAGGTACTTCACTCATTTCAAAACTACCTCTTCTGTTAGTATCCAAATCAGGTTTCAACGCTCCCTCCTTTACAAGTGATCTTTACAAAAACCCAAGATTTAAAGCTATGTGGAGGAGCATAAAAGTTAAAGATAGGTAACAGCCTTTCAGAATTTGAAAAGGTAGTACATGTCTGTATCAAGGTTGTTGATAAGTAATGTGAGTTGGCTCAGACTCACAGTGAACCCTGTATAGGATTTCCAAGGAGCAGATGGTGGGTTTGAACCGCCGACCTGTCAGTCAGCAATCCAATGCTTACCCTACAGCACCATACCAAGACTCCAAATATCAGGGTTTGTTATTAAGTACCTTCAAGTTGGTTCTGAGCCATAAGGACCTTGTATAGGGTTTCTGAGGAGCGGTTAGTGGTTCTGAACTGCTGACCTTGCAGTTAGCAGTCCAGTGCTTATCCTACAGCGCCAACACCAAGAGACCTATATCATGGTTAAGAAACCCTTATTTTTTATGCAGCATGTGCCACAAAAATAGGCAAGAATATGTAAGACCAGTATTTATGGAAAAGGGGAAGAGAATCCAGAAATATGACAAGAAAGCTGCTAAAACCGATGCGCTAGAGAAAGCCAGCATCAACGAGAAATGGCCTAGTAGACAAAACCAGGTAGGAATGAGGTACAGAAAAAGACATTTCTTTTCAGCTCCACTTAAGTTGTCTACATTAGGTATCAACGTTTCAGGATCAATAATAGGAAAAGAAGTTCATGTAAGGGCAATGTTGTCAGAAATTTCAGAGACAAGAAGATGGCTAGATGATGATTCTTGGGTGTTTTTAGACTACTAAGTGAGGTAAAGTCAAGGGGAGAAGGATTGTGCACCTTGTCTGCTAATATTAGTATATTACCAGGAGCACTGTGCCAAACATCAGGA